ATGTTTGACTTAATGAAGGTGTCAATTGAGAAAAGTTTAGGGTCAAGACCCCAAATTCATCTATTTTCTCCACTTTCAAATAATAGAAGCTTATGTGAGAAGCTAAACGATCTTCAAGTGTGTTCAAAAAGTGAGGAGCGATCACATTCTTATTCTTATTTGGCCTACAAGGGCATTCTAGTCATTTCATCATGGTCACACAAATCAAACCACATAAAGGAGTATTAACTCTATACATAGATAGGAACAATAATTGTTATTTTTACAACTTGTTATGGATTCTCTTGTGTCTTGTGTTATCAAGCAAAAACTCAACCACTCCTATACACCCCTGAGGGGTCCGCATTCTGAACAATCCATGGATGTTCAAGCAGCTTGTGTAGTGGCAGCCGCTTTGAAGTATCCTTCACAAGCATCTACAATACAATTTATAATACAAATATCTATTACTAAACAAACAACTCTAAAGGGTAAAATGGTAAACTCCAACAGAGGGAGAGAGATAGAGTTAGGTGGAACCTGACTAATGAGGTCCTTTGCAGCTGCAGAAACCACAGGTTTTGAAGGGAACTTCAAATCTACTTGCCTTATCCTGTAAATTTGAGTCCAACAATCTGTATCAGATATATGACATGACAAACAGTTTTATATTGCATTTGGTGTGCAAAAGACGCAAATAGCCCTGGTGGCAAATTCGTAAATAACATGATTACCTTCTATATGTATCAGAGTGCTCTTCTGCTTCAAAGGGAGGAGCACCATACAGAAATTCATAGCACAAGATTCCAAGACTCCATATATCCACACTTGCATCATGCTCCACACTCTCCACTATATACAAACATATATACAACCTTCAAACTTAAATAAACTAGACCTAGTGGCAAATCCGTAAATATCCCTACAAAGCTTGTCATGGGTCTTACCCATTTCAGGTGGAAGATAATCCAGTGTGCCACACATGGTTCGCCTGCGACTGAATGTGTGCACTGACCACCCAAAATCAGCAATCTTTAACTCACCCTGAAAAATATAACAAATATATGTAAAATTAATTATTCAAATCAAGCACAAAAACGAAATTATGAAGAAGAAAAAAAATTGTATATTAGTGGTATATATTACCTGTGAACCAATCAAGAGGTTCTCTGGTTTGATGTCTCTATGAATAACATGCTTCCCATGACAATATATGAGAGCCCGTGCTAATGAGGCAACATACTGTTTAAATGTGAATAAAAATTATTATAATGATAATAAAATAATAAAGTAAACATAAATAATGACATCATCGTATACTTACAGTTGCAGAACGTCGTTCGGTGAAGCATTTGAATTTCTGGAGCTCCTTGTAGAGTTCACCTTTTGCAGCATACTCCAAAATCAAGTAGACTCTTTGCTGTTGAAGTTATTATCTATGTATTAGAGTTGTAAAATGGCCATTGTTGATGACATCAAGGTAAGGGTATAGAGGTAAATTTTACCTGATCATAGAAGTAACCATAGAGTCTTAGGATATTAGGGTGTCTAAGATGGCTTTGTATTTCAACTTCACGCCGAAGCTGGTGCTCCACTTGAGACTGTTTAAGTTGGCTCTTGAAAAGCACTTTTAATGCCACAACATGATTACTCTGTTTTGAGAATAAACATGGACGTTATTCAGCATATTAACAAAATAATAGAGATGATAGTTTAGGTTAGGATGCAAATCAGACATAATATGTTAAGATTGGTGATTAGATTTGATTTGCTCACCCTCTTTTCTTTTGCAACATAGACATGACCGAATTTTCCCCTTCCTAGTGGCTTCCCAATGTCAAAGTCACTAAGAGTCCACCTCTTCTTCTCGTTTGCAGCATCTGAAGAAGCCTATATAATCACAACAAGAAAATCCAATATGATATAATCATGCATCCAAAGATCATTAGTAGTAGCTCATAACAATTCAAGCATCTTCACTAGCATTCAAATTCAAATGGATTTGATTTGTGTTAGAACTCATGGAACTGATAGTATGAACATATGATTCTAATAAAAAAAGGTTTTCACCTAAAGTTATCCGTCAATCCTTTGATACATCAAATTATCACAGAGTATTAAATCTATCTACTGCTACATCTCAATCTACTGAAATAGAAGCAGATCTACAACACGAGGACAGTTTCCGGATATAAAAGTTGGAACTGTATCACCATTGATGACGATTAAACCCAATTACATCTCTATCGTCCAAATTCGCATAATGCAGCTTTCAAATTGAATGTTTAACATCATTTCTAGGATACTTGAAGACCTAATAATAACACACATGTGTTCTAATGTGTGAAATCCAAACAGATATTAACGATAAAACGAACCCTAAAGATAGCATTGAAAAACCGAGAAACAAATTCGTTCCAAACTAAAAAATTCCAAACAGCAATTGAAGGTACCTTTTGCTGAGGATGCGTCTCCATCGCTGTTGCCATGAGAGAGAAAGGTTTTAGAGAGAGGAGAGAGGCAGACAACAACGGGAAGGAGGAAGGGGAAGATAGCGGTGTTTGAATAGAGGGGGTGGGGGGAAGAGGAGGAGGGGGTTGTTTCGGCAACGGTCAGATTATTAAAGTCAGCCACGTGCCTTTCAAGGAGCGTCTATTCTTTTCAAATACTTAAATGCATCAACGTTCTTCCTTTTGTGATCAATTTCATAAAAATAAAAACAAAAAACAAAATCAATAGTTTGGATTTTATTTTTTGAACCATCGGGGTTTTTTTATGTTTTAATCATCATTGGTTTATATGATTTTCAAAGGCAACTTAAGAATAATTTTAGAAAACTTTATATTAATGTTCTGGTTTCATCAAAATTGAACACGGTTATTTTTTTTAACTAACCGCGTTAGAAATAATAAAATAACCAAAAAAGCCCTAACTTTGTATGTTATGTTATGACATCTCCTATGTTAACCTTTTGAAAGAAAAATTGTTACCTACTTTTCTACTTACCTTATTTAATAAAAATCTTTGTTAAAAACTCCCTTTAATGTTTAACCTTATTTAGTTCTTGCGATATACATGCTCCAAAACAACAATCACGGTGTCATGGTAGACGAAACAATGACAATCGGTCCCTTTTCAATTTGGTCATTGTCCTTGAAGGTGTCTTTGAAAATAAAATAATAATAATAACTAGTATTTAAGTCATTGATGCGTTGCGACGGAGAATTTGTTTGTAATTACTTAAAACGAAAACTATAAAAAATCATTTGAGAGACCAAAAACGTAACTTTAATACGCAGAGTAACTCCTTTGAAATTCGTATATAGAATATAATTTATAAATGTCAATACTCCACATATAGCACATTGACCATTATATTATATCAAGTGAAACATAAAAGCATCAAGATAAAGTTTCGATAAAAACAACACAAAATTTTATAACGTTTAAATAAAAAGTAATATTAATAAAAATAAAAACTATAAAAAAAATATATGTGAGCGACTAAAAGTAACTTTAAAATATAATAAGGGACCGAAATGTCAACTTACAAATTAATTTAAACGTAAAATTATCCATTACTATAACTTTAAAATTATGAATGATGAAAATTGTTAGATCAAAAATTCTTAAGGAGAAAAAAATATAAATTTGAAAATCGGTTATGACTAGCTACTTAGGTGATGTTTGTTTTTTCGAAGTGAAAACTATGAAGTTTGTGGGTTATATCCGCAATCCTTTACAGCATAAGAGGTTGATCAAACGGCTATAAAATAACATGTAATAAGAAGAATGTTTGTTTTTTAACGTCTACAGTCTGTTGCAATAAACTGAAATTAATCATTCAATAGTTTAAAATAATTTTAAATCAAAATTTTATTTAGTTTAATCATATGTAAATCAAATATAAAGATGATTGTGATGATTTAATTTTTAGAGACTTTATATAAAATAATTAAACATGATATTTGTTAAACAACAATAAATAAAATTGTTAGTTTAGCGAATATGTTTATTTTGTTAAATTTTTTGAAAATAGTGGTTATTTTCTTATTAGTTTCAATAAATTTAATAATTTTAATGATTAGATTTAGAGATCAATGCAGAAAAATCTTATTATTTTGAGAAATTTTTTAATAAAGTCCTCAATTTTTTATTTTTTTTGAATAAACAAATCCGATTATTTAATATTTTGCCTATCAAAAAAATTTCTAAAATAAAAAGATTTTTCGCATAAAACTCATTAAATTTATAATTTATGATATTTTATTATAGGCAATGTAATACAAAAGAATATTTATGTGAAATTTACCAAATTATTTTAAAATTATATAAAATATACTTAAATTGTTTATAATATTATTAAAATAGTAAAAAAAAAAAAACTAAAAATAAATCTGTGTTCAAATAATATAAATTAAAGTTAAGGTAGCAACTCAAAGGTAGTTTGACGAGGGGAGTACGCTTCTAAAAATACAATAGCTGAGAAAGAACAATTGCTGTGTATATGTCCGGCGCACCTGGTTGGTTAGAGTGGCTTTTATTAGAATTTAGAAAACAAACAGCCCTGAATCTTTATTTTCAAAAGATTTATATTTTACATGCTTTATAACATGTAACTTCATTTTGGCTTTAGCCGTTTTGGTTTGGAATTAGCAACCCAAAATGAACAGAAACCTGGGTTTTGTTTTCTTTTTGGAAGAACATCTCACATAAACCCTCGTTTCGGAAGAAATTGCTTCAAGATCCGAAATCGACATCTAAACTTCATATACTCTTACATCAGCAATCGATCTTAGTAAGTTTCCCTACACATTGTTACATTTTTTGATGTTGTTTTCTTCGTTACATTCATATAAAATTCGAAGGAATTACATATCATCATCGTTTGATTATTCATATAGATGTTTTGTTCAAGTGGGTTTGAGGCTTTTTTTGGTGGACAATATTGCACCTGTAGGATGTGAATGGAAGTAGCATACGAAAACTACATGAACCCTTTTCTTTCTAAAAGCAAAATAATGCCTGGTATACTCTCAACCAAAGGGAAGAAGGATGCAGCTGATGAGGATGATATAATAGAAGTATCTTCTACTAGGAACTATACATGCAAAAACTGCTTACAAAGGGGTCATAACACGAGATCTTGCAAAAATCCAACACAAAACCGGCCCCCAAAGGTGAAAAAGAAACGTGGTAGGCCTAGGATTCATATACCTGTGACAAACATTGTGTATGAAACTCGAGATGCTGAAACGCAAGAAAAAATCAAAGATATGAGAGATTCTGGGTATACATCTGTTGAGATTGAAGAAGCGCTATCTGTAGAAAAAGACGAGGAAGGGATTGACAAGACTCAACTTCTGGTTTATGACAAACACGCACGAAGGTCGGAGAGGATCGTGAAAATCAAACTGTCAAAGCCAGTATATGACAAAGATGGAGGAGGATCTTGTATAGAGAAGGCACTAACTTTAGATTAGATGTAATTTGTTTTGGTTTAGTTGTTGCCCTTTTTGTAAACATTGTGTGATGTGATGGTTAAATTAGAATGATGTTCCTTTTGATGCTATAATTGTTATAACTTTTTTGCACATTCCTTTTTTTAATTCAAGATTTAACCAAAAATAAAATAGTATTATATGAAGGGGTCATTTAGTGTGGAAGCACTTACATATTTTTTTTATTTTCATATTTATTTGTTTGTTGTCCTTTTCTTCTCTTTTTCTACTGTAGTTCTTATACAGAAAATGAAAGTAGATTGCTATTATGTGTAAAAAAAATACACTCCAATAAAAAAAATGAAGTAAGTTGCTAATTAATGAAAAATATCCAAAACCGTATTGTATTGGCATATGATATATATATCATTATTTATATACAAGAAAAGGATAAAACCCCAGCCTTCTTTTACCCTGCCTCTACCTAAATTCCAATTTTATCTATTATGCCATGGCCCACCTACCTACCCTACAACGAATAGAATACCAATACCCCAAAACAAAAGCCAAAACAAAAACAAAAAATGAAAACGTTGATAATCAACAGTTTTCTCTAGTCTATTATGATGTTTGCCAAAAGCCTGCCATGTCAGCACTATATAAAGAGCGATCTTGAATCTCCAAATTTGCAATATGCCAATTTATAAACAGCGACTGAATCCATTTACACAATACTAATGCAACTGGAAATATCCACCACTCGCTTTCCTCCCTACACACCACATTCAACCAATCAAAATGTTACAACATATGTGTGAATTGATAGAAAAAAAAAAAAGGTGAAAATGTGGTAGTTAGTTAGTTACAACTTACATGGTCCACGGGTGAACATCCGAAGGGGCTTTAGCTGATTGATTCATATAATGGGCATAACCACAGATAAAAGCAACCACCTAAGAAAATACAAAATTAGTTTATAATTTAGGAAATGACTGAATAAGGAAGAAGTTGTTGTGTATATGAATGATTTTAAGAGTTTTTTTGAGGCTTACGACGTTGACCAAGGATGTTATGTTCCAGAGAGCATATATACGGGCCAGCCCAGCAGATCGCCTGGGGCCTTGACTAAACAGAGCATTGATGCCAGCAGGAAAAGGAAGCAAAATCCCAAGTGGCAAAATCATTACAACCAATAACACGTTTGCTAATGAATATGAAAATAACTGCAGCAATGTAAGCAAAACCAGACTAAAGTCTCCTAGCAGTATCACCGATATCACCAATCCCACTACATCCTGCATTCCAATTCCATCATACATACAATATGTATATATTTAAAAACAATAATAATAACTGTTACCTGGTGGCCAACAGGTTTGGTGTTGTATATAATAAAGGAGAGAGGAAACAATACATCCGTCTTTTCCTTGAGTGTTTTCAAACTGTTGATGTCTAAAACCCTACCGTAACTCTTCTTCTGTTTCTTATTATCATCCACCTTCATTTCTGAATCTTCATCTTCTTCAATGGCATTACTGTCAAAACTCAAAAACAAACACAATAAAAACAATTTCTTTTTTTCTGATTCAGTAGCAACTATTGCTGTTGTATACATAATGCTGGTTACCTGTGATCCAGTTGGGGTTGGGGTTGGGCCTGGGCCTGTACAGCGGATACCACAAGCCCATATTGATAACTTTCACCACTTGTAGCTTTAAATGAAGCAAGGTCAACACGTACACCATAAACCCTAAAACTCGGATTCACACAAGTTTCAATCCATATCACAACCGCCCGAAATGTTACTTTGAGTCGACCGCTACGCACCAACCGTAATTGTGCGTTTAAACCAGCCACAAATCGATACCAAATAGTAGGAGGAATGCACTGAAAATAATAAACAAATAAATAAATAAATGACCACAACAGAAGAAAGGAGATTTATAAAATGAAGTGGTGGAAAACCTGATTCATGAGACTTGTAATGACATTGTCACTGTGAAGTGAAAACGGAGCCATGTAACTTCCATCACCTCCAAATAAAAGAGACAACGGGAATCTTTGATGAAGGTGTGGAGGAAGATCGCTTCTTTTTTCATCACCACCAAGAAAAAAGTCCACATAAGCTAGCATCAAATCAGATGTTGCAGCCACCTACAATATCAATATCAATATCAATATCACATGTGACCATTTTGGTGTGTCTTTAACTGAGTAACTGACTACTGACCTTAAGACCTTCATAGAGAGCACGTGATCGACATGAACGCAAGCATGCATGGTCGTATTCAGACCTAACAAACTCACGCAGTCTTTGTAGCTTTAACTTTTGCCTCCATTGTTGCCATGACCATGCAAGAGGGTAAGCAAGGAAAAAAAGAATACGGTATATTGATCCCTCCCACCATGGATATGTGGCTAAAGCATTGATATCTTCAACAAATCTATTAAATGCACCCTCATACACTATATCTATCACTTGTTTAGGAGGTGTGTGAGGTAGATGCCATGGTTCCCTGAAAGTGTTTCCTCCCATAAAGTACATCCTATGCACATGCCCTTGAGACTCCTCCACTCTGTTTGTTTCCAAAACCTAAAAGAAAATGAATGAGATGATGATATCTTATACATAAACAATTTCAAGCAACCTCACCTCATTGAGCGATTCCAAGAAAGGAAAGGAGTGATCCATCTGAGATCCTTGTTGAGTTGGTGCATGGCCTGGTGACTCATCAAACCCCATGAATTTCATTCTTGCAACACTAAGCACAAGTGCCAACAGGATAAGAAGACCCAACAGAAGAAGGCTGAATACCCATGGCCCACCAAATGTCTCCATTAGTTCTTCAAGAGCAGTGTAACAATTTGGCATGTGGTATTTGTCTGAAATGCACTTGTAAGGACATGGAGTTTCAGCAGAACCACCTATCAATCACATGTTATGTCAATAATAATAAAACATTACATGTCAATGTCAATCAATCAAAACCAAACAATCCATAAAGTCAGTCAACAAGTCAACAATACCTCGAACATATATAAAGAATGCACGATGGGGAAGCTCATTGGCAGGGCACTCGAAACATAACTCCTTATCGGATCCTGTAACATTTTTGTAAGTGCCAACAGGGCATTCCTCACAGAAAGTACCAAAAAGCCCTTTTGGACAAGATTTCCCAGTGACTGTTCCAATTCCTCCAGCACCAACTTCATTGCCACTCAATCCACCTCGAGTGGAGATGCTTCCTTTGATATTAGCAACAGGTTGGTATACATCTCCGGTTGGTATGTGTGACCAATGAAAATGAATCCTTCCACCACCACCACCACCACTCCCGTTTGGACTACCTTCACCTCCATCACTTGAAACAACTCCAGACTCATCAACAAACAGATCATTCAAGAACACAAGAATCGTTCCCCCTGATCCTCCCCCTGATCCTCCCATCCAATCGTATTTCTTGAAAATGTTTTCTTCATAACTTCCTCCATCAGATCCTACCACACCATTAACATACAAACTTGGCAATGGATTAGCTGAAGAACCGATCACAAGAACACCACCACCAGCTGTTGACCCACTGATGAAATCATTCCCGCCACCACTACCCATCCAACAAGGCAAATCAGCATCCCCATATGGCCCACCACCATCAACGCAGGTGTCATTATAACAACCATACCCACCATAACCACCATAACCACCCCCACTCCCGATTCCAACATTCAAAACTTTCCCCCTCCCAATACCACCTTTGCAACCCATCTTTGAGGTGCTAATTGTCCCACTAGATTCAACTGTAACAGTTCTTGCCCTATGGAAGTTCACAACAGACCCTTTTATAAGGCCTTCAACCAAGATATCTTCAACACGACATAACTGAAGAAAAAAAAACCATCAATATCTCAAAAATTGTTAACTTCTAAATCAATTATGAATTACCTGAAGAGTAAAGGACAAAGAAGCATTGACATTGCAGTCATCAGGTGGATTCAGCAACTCATATGGACATTCTTGAGAGTCACAAATCGGCTTCGGTGTCACAGCATTAGCTGTAACATTTTCCAAGGGCCCACGTAAGACTGATCCAGGGCCCACATTGACACTATAAAACAGGGACAGAACCAAACGTTGTGCTTCAATACAGTCACCTGGGCCTGACAAGTTTAATAAACCTTGGCCATGTACCCCAAGATTAGCATTTGAACGTATGGTAGAAGATTCCTTGAGAACAATAAGATTGCTACCCTCAAGAAATGAATTTTGCACATTCTGGTCACCTTCAACATCAATAAGCAATTGTGAATTCCACATCAAGAACATCTTTACAGTCATTCGTAGAGCACCATAAACCTGAAAAAAGAATGTATCACAAAAGAGATACTTTAGCTTTCTAATGACAAAATGGCAAAAAGGTTGTTGCTTGTTACTTTACCTTGATTACAGAATCACTCATTAGAAGCTCTTCTGCAAGAACCTCAAACTCTGATAAAGCATAATGAGCTAACCCAAAACTCAAGATACCTCCATCCAAGACACTAATTTGGCCTTGAACCTAATTGAAGCATATCAGAAATTATAATAAATATTTCTTTCATCATATAAAAACAGAAGTGGATAGTTAATACAAATAACTAAATGCTGACCTGGACACGACTCCATAGCAAGGGAACAGAAACCTTAGCAAAACTTCGAATAAAAATATTTGTCATAAGAGGCTGATATGGAACCTCCATTAGAAGTGTGTCAGTGTCAGTTGTCATGTTGAAATTATCAACTGTAAGGCTACGTGTTACAGCATCATAAAAAGTGCCTGCAGCACCTGCGTTTGAAGGGCATCCTAGACTATTACCACCTGCAAAAATTATTAAAAAAGATTCAGTGTTAATTTATGAATAAAAAAACACACCAAAAGAATGCAAGAATCTTACCATGGACAATGATTTTAGGTTCTTCATGTCTGCTAAAAATGTCTGTAGAAATTCTTCCTCCACCTCCACCACCAAAACCATCACCTCCAGAACCACTTATATAACCATTT